AGCCACGACTCACGTCGGGGGGTCAGGGACAACTTGTGGGAGCTGTTTCTCTTCTGGACATGGGTCAGCATGCTTGGTGACAAGCTTTTTTGCTCACTGAGCCGTCTCCACTGACCTGAGCTTCCTTTTTCTTAAACTTCAAAACACATTTTTAAATTTCCCCATTCATGCTCCTATCTATAAACAAGAATAGGTAAAGCTGTCCAGGTATAAGCAAGGGCGAAAACCTAGAGTCACACTGATTCCCAATCCGCAGTCCATGGCGGGGAGGCCGGAAGCCCCTGTTGGGTCCCCTGGATCTTTGAGAACCCAATGAGTCTCAGGCCACTTCCTCCCTTTGCCGAAGCCTGCAGTTAGAGGGTACTTTAACCCCAAGGGAGAAGGACAACATTAAGGAACGTGTCTCCATTGTCACTTAACGGCCACCCAATATGAGTCTCGCAATCATAAGAGCACAACTTAAGAACCCAAAGTTGTGTGTGTGCTTGTGTTTGGTTGTTGTGGTATGGTGTGTGTGTGTGTGAATAGTAGGGTCGGCGTAGGAGGCCTTAGGGTGGTTTCAGGAAACTCAAGACAAGAAGTCTCCAAAAGGAGGCAAACTTAAACTGTAGTCTGAGGAGGTCTTGCAGACTTGGAGACAGATAGGGGATGTGTCCTGCGTCCCATGAAAGAGGCCATGTCTCCAGCTAAGTATGTGGCACATGGGCAGAGTAGGACAAGGATCCACAGTTGTTTCAAGTCATTGAATGTGAGTTTCCCATCAATGTAATACCTGCCCTCCACAGAGTGGGCAGCATGGAGTCCTGATCTGTAAGAGCCATGGCCGACCTTGGCCCATATACCACCGATAGCTAACTCACACATCATCCTTACTTGGTCCTGTCAAAAACCCTGAGACGTGTAGGGCAACATCAACCATGTTCTGTAGATAAGGAAATTGAGAGGAGAAAAGTGGCTTGCCCAAGTTAGCTTTCCCATGAGAAGCAGAGCCCAAATCAAGTGCTGTTTTCACATTTCCCAGAGGTATAGCAGGGATGCAAAGGGGGGCCCAGCAGATAAAAGGCATTAACATTCCCTAAGGAAGTGTTATGCTAATTTCCTTCTAGACTTGGCAAGGAGTCTATGCTGAAATAGCACCCACTTCTGAACTAGCAGGCAATGTATGAAGTGGGGTAGAAGCAGGAGGTGCTCCACCCTCCCAGAGAGTGTGAGAAGGATCAGCAATACAGACTGCCTGGGTTTAATATTGATCCTTGTCAGTAAACTACCTGCACAAACTCAAGCAGAGCTCAGCTCCCCTAACTGGAATGCGGATGCTACCTACTCAACAGTGTTAGCCCCGGATACCCAGTTCATAGTATACACCAGGAGGAACCGGTGAATGAATTCTCAGCAGGGTATGCACATTGGCTGCTGGTGCTCCTAGATAAGGAATAGCAACCTCTGAAGCTTGAAAATAAGGTCATGGTACCCTTGCTTCCTGTCTTCCTAAAATGTGTCACGACGTTCGTTCGATGGCCCTGTGGCTTTATGAACACCACCTCATGCCTACTAGTCTACTTTCCCTCACGTTACTTTGGTCATTTCTACTGATTGACAAAACCCCCGATGGCTGGATCATCTTTCTTCACATGTTTCCTACCAGTCAACTGTTTTCTTGAGCACACAAAACAGCATTGGAGCCTCTGGCTTGTTCTAGATGTACCTTGGCACCATACTACCAGTCTATCAATAGGGGGAGCTCAAGGAATATCTTAAACAATGGCCCTCCTTTAGCAAACTTGAAAAAATAAAAAAGAAGCAAAGTCATTGTATGGCTGTATGGTTTTGTTATCAACTGGAAAATAAGAGGACATAAATTCAAAGCAATATAAGTAGACATTACTAATAAGACAGTGCTTGGATTTTCTATAGAGGAAGATGATTTGCTTAGAGTTCTGTCTCTAAGGGAATCCCAGGACAGATTTTGATTTCACGTTGATAAAGATGACAATGTACTGCAAGAGTTGACTGTTTAGATGTATTCCCACTGGATCTGTTTTGCTTAAGAAAAGTTCAGAATGATTGTGCTTGGCTTGTTCAGACTTGTAAATAATAACGTTCAGGGATGTCATGTTGAATGAAATATTACAACTGTGTTCAAAATTCCACCGAGGTGTGCGTCATGGGCTTTTGTTTATAACAGTAGTTCAGGAAACTTAGAAAAACCTTCATGGGAAAGAATTCCTCCTACTTATTTGGTTTGCTGGAACTCTCAAACTCCGGAGCTCCATTCAAGTGGCGTTACAGGGAGGAAAGACTTGCTGGAGGCTCTGCCTTAAGCAGTGGCTTCTCTGCAAGGAGCGCGGCTCAGCAATGGATATGTGACGATTTCTAAGGTACAGCTGGGAAGGTGAAGAGTTCATAGAGGGGTGCATGACATAAACTTTTGCGGTGGGTCATGTGGCCTGGGTGTGTGATAGACTGCCAATCGATGCCAGGTTTATATAGCTCTTCTAAAGGATTCAAACATCTTTGTCCTGAGAGCTGTAATTTCAAAGCCTAGTGGCCAGATCTGTACAAACTGAACTGTAATACTGAAGCTGGGTAACTGCTTTGCTTCAAGGACTCACGTTCACCTAGGCAGCATCTCTAGGCAGGTGTGTCAGGTGTCATCCCATCTCTTAGAACATCAAGTACAATATTTCTCTATCGTATTTTTCCAAACATGATCTTTTCTGCACTCTTAGGAATTCGGACTCAAACTTAGATTTCCCACATTCAAACATGAAGATTAAAAAAATAGAATGCTGACTTTTCCAGCACGACTCAGAAGATGGCGTTCATGGTCAGGATTTGACCAATCTATTGACTGGAATGTGGGTGTTCAGACTGACATGTTTGTTCAAGTCACTTGGTAAAATATGAACTTTAGAGACCAAAGTAATTGATGCTACACAATAAAAGAATTAATTTTTTCAGCTATGATTTTCATGTAATATGCCGTAATTTTTGAAACTTACTTCACATCTGTGGGAAAATAAATGATTTTTAAGATAGTTTACCATGGTGGAGGGCTAATTAAAGAAACCATGACACCTACATAAAATGCAATGAAACAATTTAAATCGTTCTCCAAATGGACTGGGCATGAGGGCAAGCTGTTAGCCATGTGTAGCCATGTCAACAAAAGGTAATGAAACAATGTTATGTGACATGTTTTGTTTTGTTTTGAATACAAGGTTTCTCTGTAGTCCTGGCTGTCCTGGAACTCACTCTGTAGACCAGGCTGGCCTCAAACTCAGAGATCTGCCTGCCTCTGCCTCCCAAGTCCTGGGGTTAAAGGTGTGCGCCACCACTGCCTGGCTGACATATATTTGAGGCATAGAAGATTAGACTGATATCCCCCGTAGGTTAATGTTTTCTCTGCAGGGTGGTATGTGTTATTTTAATTCAAACATTCCCATATGATCTGCAATGACCAAGCTTGATGTTTATAATCAGGGAAACATAGATTCCATTTGATATAAAATTAAGCAGTTTAAGAGCTTTGGGGAAAATGGTGTTTGTTATAGGATTGTTTCCTAGAAAAATTCCCCAGGGGTTGGTATTTCCTACCTCATTTCCTTTACTTCCGGCACTGGATTTCATTTCCTTTGGTTGCTGTGTGAAAGAAAATGACAGAGTTTCGATGGAGGATCAGTCTCAGGAACGTGTCAAGTTGGTCTCACACACCGCTGTCACCGCTTCCACAGTCAGTTCTGACCTCTCCAACAGTGACTCCTGTCATTTCACTCCCTGAAACCTCACTTCTCTGCCTAGACCCAACAGAAGTTAAAACTGAGAAATAAACCAAACCCCAAGTCATCATACACTTGTTTGTGCAGATGTCTTTCGGCGAACCAGTTTTGTGTTTCAGAAAGCAGACCCTTCGGGCTGGTACGGAGGCATCCAGCATTCAGGTGGACGCTAGCCGCGCGTTAATAAACCACAGAAGTAGCATGCTCGTGGCAAGAAGGGCAATAGGGTCTTGGAAATCTAAGAACTATCAGAAAGAGAGAAGACAGGAAGAGAACTCCAGGTCAAGAGGAAGTGGTAAATGGGAGAAGCACACAGGATGGGGCGGGGTCAGAGCTTTCTAGACAATGCCAAGACAGACTATACAAGGATGTCATTTCCTGGGAGACTTTAAAAAACAAACCAGAACTGGTCTGCATTTAATATAGACCTCTGCAGTGGTTAGGATCAACACTGGCCAGTCTCTGGGGATGTTCTCTGCAGTGGTTAGGATCAACACTGGCCAGTCACTAGGGATGTTCTCTGCAGTGGTTAGGATCAACACTGGTCAGTCTCTGGGGGATGTCCTCTGCAGTGGTTAGGATCAACACTGGCCAGTCACTGGGGATGTTCTCTGCAATGGTTAGGATCAACACTGG